TGTCATTAATTTTCTTGTCTTAATCCAAGTTATCAAGATCCATTTGAGTCCAGTCAACTATTCTTTCTATGTGGCAAACACTATTCTTTCTATGTGGCAAATAAACTTTTGCAAAGGTTTTAGTTGCTTTCATTATATTTCCACCATTTAGTTTTGATTTCAAAAGTTTCTTTGTAAAAGCTTATTTTGAAATTAAATGATCAGTTTGTGACAAAGAATAAATGTTTTCTAAAACAGGCAGATAATTCTCACAGGCCACTAGGAAAGGTGTGGGTTTAATGCTACATACACAATGCATGTAGCAGTCACTGCATTATACTGAAAAAGAATTCCACATACCTGGAGTAGAGAAAGATAGACCCAACACTTACCACCATCGGAGGTGAACATCTCCAGTTAAAAGCAGGAGTAGTTTTAGGAGGAGGTTTTTCTCTTGCATTAGTTTCTGAACTTGTTTGATGTTAGAATGGATAACATCATCATGATCATTTCTTTGACTTGATTCTGTAAGAAATTGGACGCTTTCAAAATTCTTAAATATTTGTAGCCTTCTTCTAGTGCCTTTATTAGATCTTCATTGTTAAGATGCATTCATTATGTTCAACAATTTTGCCTGCCTTGATGGCTAAGGTTGCACACTTGTGGATGCTTAATTGCAGTCAGATATGTTTACTGAGGTCTTTTGTGCTTTTTAATAAGGAATCAAGTTTAGCCTTTGTTTTTTGTAATAATTTAAAATTATCTATATAGAATAAATATGAAATTTTTACTTCTTTTTTGGCCAATTCATACCCACAGTTTGACTTGTTTAAAATTGTTGTCAGCAGGGCCCTTGATAGTACAAAAAGCAAAGGTGATAATGAGTCATCTTGGAAAATTTCGTGTTTGATTTTGACATCTTCAAATTCTTCCCTATTAGCCATTAGCTTCATTTGCCAAAACTTCATTGATATGTTCATAAATTGCTGAATGTTTCTGCTGATTCCAAAAATTATGATCCATCCAGCTAATGTAAAAAAAGAATTGAATGCCTTTTTGCAGTCTATCCAAGTGTAAACATATTTGCTTTTTTTTTTTTTTTCAAATTCTTTAAAAACAATGTCAATGTCAACTAGTCCTTCATTCCCTCAAAATTTTGGAGCACCCTTTTTTTTTCCTACAGGGAGTAAAGTATTTCTTTTCAAATCACTATAGATTTGATTTGCATTTATGCCCATAAGTAACTTGTATGTTGTTGGCAAACAGGTGATGGATCTATAGTTTCCAGGCTTATTTCCCTTCTCCTTCTTACTCTGAAATTGGAATAACCTTCCAGTTGTTAGACATTTTTTATTTGTTTTCTGATGCTTCCAAAACCTTTTTCATCTGGTCTGTCAATCTCAACTGTCGATTTGTCATCAGTTTTAGCCAGAATCTATGTCGCTCATCTGGTCCAGGAGATTTTGATCTTCTCTGATTGCATTCATACCATTTTTGCAGTTATTGTAATGTCTTCCATATAAGTACTTTCACTGGGTTTTCAACATACTTAATCCATGTTTGATTCATATTGTGACTTGTATTGTTTTCCCCACAAAACTTTATAAAACTTTACAATCTTTTCTTGTCAGGCTTTTCATTATTTGTCAGTCCTTTCCCATTTACAAAGGTTTTACAGAATTGATGCCAATTTGCTCTAAACTGCAAAACTTGTTGGAATATTCATATTAAATTGTCATATCTCTTGATCTTCTCTGCAATAACCATGACACTTTGTTTCAGTTGTTCTATATCCTCGGCAATTCCTTACTCTCCAGGTAATACTTCACACACAGATTAGTTTTGATTTTCTTATTATTTTCTTAAATATATACGTATATATACACTGTATATTCAATTATTATGGTCCATTGAACAGTCAGGCATAAATTTAGACTGGATTTGGCATTTTTATCTACCTACCATTACTATTGTTCTTATTTGTTGAGACTTTTAGAGAGGTTCGGGGGTCTTTCTCAAGGATTTTAAGAGCCTTAAGTGGCATTTAAACAGAGGCACTCTGAATGTGTTCTTCTGTTTTAAATAGACAGTTAAACTTATTTTTTATTTCATGTATTAAAATGCTTTAAGTGTAGCTAGGATCTCTATTTTAAAATATTTTTCCATCTTGATTTAAATGTATTAGATGCATCATTTGATGTTTTTCTTCTGCTTTATAACATTAAATTTGTGGCCTTCCATTAGGTAAATATGGAATCTGCAGCTAGCCCGCTGTGGTCATGACCTTTTAATATAGATGTTTTTAAAAAGGGAAATACCTTTTAAACAGAAACCTGCAGAATCAAAAATTGCTTGTCCTAATTACCGGTTGACAGTGTTATTGTATGGGTATTCCACTTGCAAACTTCTCCACTATTTGTTGTTGAGCACTTTGCAGAATGCTGAATTAGATTAGCTTTTGGTGTGACCCAGGGGTGGGATTCTACCAATTCGGACCAGTTCTATAGAACCGGTTGTTACGATTCTGCGCAGTTCGGAGAACCGGCAAATCGCACCATTGGCTGGCTCCTCCCCCCCTACCCGCCCCGCCCAGGAGGCTTTCCTGAGGCCCAGTCAGGGGTGGTATTCAGGGGGTTGTGGGAGGGAGAAGTGGCCTGAGAGCAGAGCTGAACCTTCCTTAGGATTGAAGCTTCTATTTTTCAGTGCAGACTCAGGCAGCAGATTGCAGAAAAGGTAGATCTGGGAGTGAAGCTGTGATTCTGCAAGCAGCTCAATCTGCCTGCCTGCTTTGCCTGATTTTGGGTAAAAGTTTCTCTTTTTTAAAAATAAAAAAAAATCAATCTTTACATATATATTTACAATATTTACATATAAGCCACGCCCAGCCAGTCACATAACCACCAAGCCACACCCACCAATCAGGCCACGCCTACAGAACCAGTTGTTAAGAAATTTGAATCCCACCCCTGGTGTGACCCAACAGGGCTTTTCTTAATTCACATACCCCCCCCCCCACCCCCTTATTATGGTAAAAGACCAGAATAAAGCAGTACAATATACAAAGGATATAGAAGTTTAAAACGAATATGAAAAGCAAAGGAAGATACTATGTAGGGAAAACAAGACCCATCATAGGAAATCCAGGCCTAAGAAAGAATACGTTAAAATATGGTTTTAATTTATATTTTTACAAAAATTCACATATGTGCATTTGTGCGGATGTGTATAAGAGTAGTACAGAAAGCAACTAAGTTTAACTATAAATATATAAAGCAAGTAAGTATAAAAGCAGGTGCTGAAAGGAGATGGAAACAGACAGACAGGGAAATGAAGAGCAAAAACGGAGAAGAGTTTTTCTAATAGCAATAGCACTTATATACTGCTTTACAGTGCTTTTACAACCCTCTCTAAGCAGTTTACAGAGTCAGCCTATTGTCCCCAACAATTTGGGACCTCATTTTACCCACCTCCGAAGGATGGAAGGCTGAGTCAACCTTGAGCCTGGTGAGATTCGATCTGCCAAATTGCAGGCAGCTGGTTGCAGCAGAAGTAGCTTGCAGTACTGCATTCTAACCATTGCACCACTGAGGCTCTTACTTGCTAAAGTTGCTTTATGTTTAAATTGCATATCACATATACAGAATGAACAATAACTCTCAAACAACTTTATAAACAAGTAAGGTTCAGAAAATGGGGCTCTTGTTTTATTTCTTTTTCTGTTTGTTTGCACCATAAGGAACATGTTAACTAAAATTATGAGAAATGGGGTTGGCCAATATAGAAATGGCCACAGCTGGAATAATGGCTGGGATAATACATAGCCAGAAAAAGCTTATGAAGTGGATTTAGACTGGAGCACATGTTTAGAAGAAGCCTGAGAAGAGAGAGGAGCTAGACAGTAAAAAATAACTATGGATTTAGAATATAATCAATGACTACAGTCTCATATTGTGCTAAATTATGTGCTCAGAAATGGTTTGTTGACTAAGCACATTTCTGTGGCAGCATCACAGATTATGCTGTACTGTAAATCATGATTTAGAAATCGATTGGTTCCAGAGGTGGTATTCAACAGGTTCTGACCAGTTCTGGAGAACCGATAGCGGAAATTTTGAGTAGTTTGGAGAACTGGCAAATACCACCTCTGACTGGAGATTTTACAGTATCCTCCTCCTGCCATGGCCACCAAGCCACGCCCACAGAACCAGTAGTAAAAATGTTTGAATCCCATCACTGATTGGTTCATACTATAGTAAAACTCATATTGTGTTTTAGGTTGATGTGGTAACCTAGGTACTGTTGGACATAGCAAAAGAGCTTCTCATTAAAATTGTAACCAGCCTGCTAATAGCTTTTTGCTGGGATCCAGTTTTCTTTAACAGAAGCTTTTTCCGAACCTGGTGCCCTCCAGATGTACTGCAACTGCAATTCCCAGAATCCCCAGCCTATCTAGACTGTGACTGTCCTGACTTGGAATTTTAGGAACTTTATTTCTGGCACATATGAAGGACACCAGATTGGGGGAAATGGTTTTGTAGAGACAATATGTTTCCAAACGCCTCAGGAGAAGATGTTTCATGACCGTGACCAGGAGAGAGCAGTTTCATGACGACCTTGAAATAATCTGACAGTATTTTGAAGGAAAGAGAATTTATGACCCACCTGCAAGATACATTTTATGAAAGCTCAGTTTTAAGGAAAATAGAGCAAACAAATTAATCCCAGATCAGTAGACCAAGAGTGAGTACTGATTTGTTTATTTTTTTTTACAAAAGGACTGATTATTAGCAGAGAACTCTGGAAGAAAGTTGAACTGTGCCTGACAAATATTCTACAGTACCAAATGAATAATTTGAGCAAAATTAGGCTCTGGGGTTTATTTTTGGGACTTCCCCTGTAAACAATAATTAACTTTCAAACCAAGTAAACTGGTTCTGCTTTGTTTAGTAAACTCTCTTTGATCTCCTAAATCTTCCCTGGTAGCCTCACTTTCATCAGTTCTGTTTTCTGTCTCCATCCAGGTCATAGTGGAGCCTATTCCATTGGAGACTCATGCCCTTGATGAGAAGGTGCTAGTGAAAGTGGAGGAGAACCTGGATCTTGACGAAGAAGCAGCTGCTCTGATGGTTTTAATGGATGGTGGAGCGAAGGAAGAGACAGCTCCTCCTGAGAAGTCTTCTCCGGAGAAGGAATCTGTGGAGGCCGACCTGCAACAAGACGGAGATAGGCTACTGAAGAAGGAAGCCCAGTTATCTCCCAGCCTGGTGTCTGTTTCTCTTGAGGGACAGCCGCAGAAGGGCAAGAAGCCTAAAGTCTTGGAGCTTCCTTCATTGCCAACTCAAGAGAAAGTGAATGCAGCTGTTAACAGCCTCCTGGCACCAGGCGGGACGGGAAGCACCTTGACACCAACCACAGTTATTTCCTCCCATGCACTGGTGAGACCATATTTTTCAGCAGGTCTTACAGGATTTTGATCTGTTCCCATGAGCTAGGGATGCAACTGGGGATCCCATTCCAAAGTTAAAGGGATCTGTTTTTTTTTTTTTTTGGTAGTGGATACATCTAATTTGAACGGGATGCTTACTCTTTCCTTGGAGCGCCAGGCAGAGAAACAGACAGACCTATCACACTGTTTCTTGGGGTTGGGCGGAGATTAACAGTAGCATTTAAGTCACAGAAAATAAAGTAATGAATAAAAAGAATTAAAGGCAAGAGATAACAGAGAAGAAAAGAACATATAACTAATTCTAATTTGCTATTTACTTTTGGGTGGAGGTGGGTGCCTTCGAGTCAGTGGTGACTGCCTGGAGATGTCCTGCAGTATTCTTGGCAAGATTTCAGAAGTGGGTGTGCCTTTGCCTCTCTCCTAGAGTTGAAAGTGGCTCAAGGTCACTCAACTGGCTTTTTTATCTAAGGCAGGATTAAAACTCACAGTCTCTTGTTTTCTACCCCGATAACTACTGCGCCAAACTGCTCCATCCATTCACTACACCCCTTCTTACTGCTCTTTCTTTACACTCTAACCTTGCTTCCACCACATCCATGCCCTGATTCGTACATTGTCTTTTGGGCTTTAAACTTCTCATCTTTCTCTTTTTGAGAACCGCGTCAGTTCCCTCTCACCCTGACTCTCAGATTTCCCTTTCCTCTTGATCCAGTCAAGAGGAAACATCGCTTGGACACATCGCTCTTAATCCCACCTGCCTATCAAAATGCCCCCACTCCCCTTTCTGTAACGTTCTCTACACAGCTCTACAGTTTCTCCTATCATCACCACCATACATAGAACTAACTGTCTGTCTGCAACCCGCTTCATGGCTAGTGCTTGGCGTATAATGCGTGGTTTGGCCTAGTTATTTATATTACCTAGCTGCTTAGAGAGGCACGCCAAACTGAGGAAGATGTGTTTTTCTATTGAAATTGCAATGAGAATATCGGTCTCTTCTCAGAAATTAAGAGAGTGCTATTCCCATGGCAAAAACTTTAAAAAAAAAACATTACATGAATTCCATCCCCCTTAAGGAAAGAAAAAGCCCACTTCCTGGGTGATTCAGCTTGCCATGGTAAATACTCAGTGAACGAACAGAAATAATACAAATCATAAAAATGAATACCTTATCCTACCTTACCCTGCTACATGTTGAGAAAAGTGATTGATGGTTAGTTTTACCATTGATAGACAATACTGGGTGGGTGGAGAAGGATAGCAGGGAACCCACCAATCATTACCCTAAAACAACCTCACGTTAAACTGCATGTAGGCTTTGAAGGAAACATGTCAACATACTTCCAATTCAAGAATTGTAGGAAAGCACATTAATGTAGCTGATTCATACTCTCTATGTGAACAACTCGCCTCGTTGTACTTCTTTAACAAAGGCACTTACTTTTGCATTCCTCATATATCCTTTCATCACTCGTTCATTCCCTTTTCTTAAAAAACATCTTTTTAAAAGTTATTATAGAGTATTATGAAATACAAAATACAAAAGTAAGTAGAAGAGCAGTGACGGGGGAGGGGAAAGGGGAAGAGAAGTGAGGAAAGATAGGGAGGGGAGGAGAAAAAGAAGCATTGATTTCCGACTTTCTCTGTTGTAGTAAAATAAGGCATTAACAACAAATCACAGCTTTTTGTTTTTCCATAATAGTATGAACAAGTCATTTCTATAAAGATCTATCAATCTAATTTGTAAAACCCAAAGTCAGAGTTTCATTCTTTTCTACATCAAGTTCAGAAGCGGTTTCCATGTGGAAACAAAAGTACTTATGTTCTTTTCTGTAATCAAAGTAATCAGTTTTGCCATTTCAGCCAACTCCATCAACTTCTGCAACCATTCTTCCATGATAAGAATCAAAGTGTCCTTCCATTTTTGTGCATACAATAGTTTTGCTGCTGTCAACATATATACAAAGCTCCAAATTTTTTCTTCAGTTCTTTTTTCATTAAACGAAGAGGAAAAGTTCTTTATTCATTTTTATCTCAGTTTTCAGAATTTTCTGTATTAAAATATGAATCATACTCCACATTTTTTTTTGCTTTATCACATGTCCACCATAGATAATAAAAAAATCCCTTCTTTATTTTTACACTTCCAACATTCATTTGACATGCCTTTGTACATCTTAGATAACTTACCTGGTGTTAAATACCAATGATACATCATCTTATAGAAATTCTCTTTTAGATTATAATTTAATGTAAATTTTAAACCCTTCATCCACATAATTTTCTCATTGTTCAAGCATCACAGTATATCCAAAATTCCTTACCCACTGAATCATACCATGTTTTTACATGTTCATTTTCCAAATTCAATTGCAATAACATTGTACACTTTCACATTTCTTTTGTATCTTATTTTCCACTGCACTCAAAATACTTCTTTTGACATTTCCAACACTCATATAATAGAGTGTGCAGAATCATGCTTTTGTACATAGCCATGTTCACTTCTTTTGATAAACATTCATTTCTTGCAAATGACCATATATTTACCATTACTTTTCCAACAGGATGGGCATATCTTAAAAATTTCCAGCCATTTCCTCATATCGATAAACATTCACTAAATATGCATTTATCTAGTTGCTCTTTTTGCTCTTTAGGTATTAATTGCATATGTTTATTCCATTGCTCCTACATCCCATGCTATGTAACGTAACTGCAAATTTTTCGGGTTCTCAGCCAGTAAATGGAATTGTCTACATACAAGGACATGCATATTCATTTCTCTGATAGCACAGCTCTAATACCACCACAACCCTTATTTATTAACTTATTCATTTCTGACCCACTTTCCCTCCCACCACCCCGCCAGTGGTTCTAGGTACAATATCAGATATTCTCTTGTTCTGTTCTTGGTGTTGAATGATTCAGGAAGCATTTAATATATTTTACTTGTACACCATTCCTGTGGCATTCAGCAACCTTCCTTCAATTCCACATTCATGGAAAACATTCCATACTTGGCACTTATTTATCTTACACTTTCTCTCAATTAATAAATTTGAATTAGACTTTCTCATGTACATATATTTATCAGGGATCTCTGCCCAACAGCAAAAACCTGAATCCTCATGTTTCATGTGCATTCCTCCTAAATTAGCAAAGCGTATGTTGACAAAATTGCACTCTTGTGCCAGCATGTTGACAAAATTGCATTCGGTGCCAGAAAATGGTGCTGTCCTTACAGCTTTAATGTGGGACAGTTTAAAGGCATCAATTGATCCATTCTCTGATTTTGTTTTTCCTTCTAGCCAGCATTATGTACCTGAAGGGTGGGGGAGGAACTGCAATCACTTTCCTTAAGATGTGCATTGATTGGTAACTTGAGTTACTTTTCAAGTTCCCCAAGTGATAACTCATTGCCGTAGTAGTAGGAAACAGGTTGCATATGAGAAGCAGTGCAGGCTGAACCCTAGGCATGTTGGAACAGTTTTCTCTGGTTCCATCTCGTGCAGCCTGTCAGTTGGACAGGTTTTTTTTTTAAAAAAACAAGCTTTTAATTTTTGTGATTATCTTTTACTCCCTCTGCATATTATATTCTATACTGTACTTCTTTATTTCATCCCCATTTTTGCCACAATAATTCTCTGAACAATTTCTCTTACCAAGCCTCTTTCAGTTCATAACTCCACCAAGCATCTTTTTTTCATACTTTCCCTTCTATACACTTTGTAATGCAACTTTTTCTCTCTCTCTTCCATGCGGTTCTCATGCCCTCTTTCCTCATGTTCCTTTTCCATTTGTTCTGCTGGGAGGCTAAGCTAATATTTTTAATACATTTTTTTCGTATCATTTACATTTCCTGCAATTGTTCTTTCACTGGCTTTGTTTCCTTCCATGTACATTTCCCCCAAGACCTACTCTTAATAATGGTCACTGTCTTAGTTTTTCATCAGGGTTTTTTTATTTATTCCTTTTCCATGATAGTTACAATACTGCATATGTCTTTTGAAGAGATACTCACTAGTTATTTTTCTTATTTATTCCTGGGTCTCCTAACAGCCCAATCAAATTCTGTACTCTCATTTTATTTCTATCTATCCACACATCCATGTCCCCCTCAGAATAATTCCCCCCATCACATCCATTCAGAATGTTGCACAATTTTCTCCAAATGCATTCCTGATTCATAGAATAGAATAGAATAGAATAGAATAGAATAGAATAGAATAGAATAGAAT